GTCGCCCCGTGAGCAGGGTCCCCCCCGTCACGCACAGGTCCCCACCACCCCCTGTTCCCGCTCAGTCTCTGGGGAGCCATGGAGAGGATGCCCATTCCCTGCAGCAGGCGGGCCCCACAGGCCCAGCGGAATGGGGTCGGGCAGGGGCGCACGAATGTGTTCCCAGCCTCCTTGCGGGCCAGCAGGGCCTGCAGGCAGCTCAGAGGCCTCGCTCCTGGCTCCCGGCCTCCCCGGGGCCGTCGGACAGCGAACCCCACAGACAGACACGAAGCTGATCCGTGTCCACATGCCGGCTTGCTGGGATCCCCCTCAGCGCCCGCAGATCCACACTCATGCATTTAGTTTCCGGGAACGGAGCCGGCAGCGCCTGCCCACCTGTGCCAGCGTCATCATCATCATTATTATTATTTAATATATTAGTGCTTTTATGGATTTCAGAAGGGAAGAGAGAGGAAGAGAGAGAGAGAAGCATCCATGATGAGAGAGAATCGTGGACCGGCCGCCTCCTGCACGCCCCTTACTTGGGACGGAGCCCGAAACCCGGGCACGTGCCCTTGGCCGGGAATCGAACCCTGATCTCCTGGTTCATAGCTCGACGCTCAACCACTGAGCCACACTGGCCGGTCCTTACGTGTCTGTAGGCAGATGTTCCTGTTAGGATGTGAGCCTCCCCCTGGAGGGAGGGTACTGCCCCCTGACCGCTGCCCTCGGCCGGCCGACACCCTCCGCTCCCCTTCCCTCCCGTCCCCTCCCGGGGCTGGGAACCCGGATGCAGCGTTCATGTGTGAGGGAGGCAGGGCCTGCAGACACCACCTGGGCTAGTCATTCCTCAGGGCATGCTACCCACTGGGTTGTAAATGCAGACGAAGGAGGGGACCCATCTCCCTGCAGAGGGAGGAGGGAGACTCATTTCCTGCCTTCACGGTGGGCGGGCGAGGCTTTGATGCTGGAAGAGGGTTTATGGGGTGCAGCGCCGGGAGGGGCGTGGCTGGAGGCTGATGGCACCCTGGCCGGGTGAGCACGGTTCCTGGGTTATATCATGAGAAACGGGGGGCATCCCACAGCCACGGGAGCTGACCTGGGACCTCCAGACGGCCCGGCTGCCTGGGCCCAGATTGGGGGTCCCCGGAGGCGCCTGGCCCCCACGACTCTCTAGCGCTGGACATGGGGCCCCCGGGACTAGCTGGCCTCAGACCGGGGGTTCCCAGGACGGCCTGGCCCCTACTGGGGGCCCCCCACTATTGCCTGGCCCTGGACTGGGGGGCTCCCTAGCTGTGCTCGACCCACTCACTCACAGGAGGCTTGGACGCAGTGGCACAAAGCCTGCAGGAGGCTGGCTCAGCTGCTCCGTGGGGGACGCGCTGTCCAGGCAGCAGGAGGCCGCCCCTGCAAACCACTCGCCCCTCCATCCCCGTTTCTTCTCATCGACGGACGGCCACTCAGCCAGCGCCCATCTCCTCCGCCCGCAGGCACGTGCCAGCGTCGCTTCGTCTGCCGGAGGAACGCGAGGTCTCTGAGATTTTCAGTCGTTTAAGATGACGTGGCGCATTTTAAGTTTTGACCCTGGTTTGCAACACTTTGGGAAAGTTATGAGGAGAGTACAAAGTAAGATGTCTATTTAATTATATAGCTGTACGAATGAAAGGGTAATATGCTAATTAGGCCGGATGGACCGGACGTCTTCCTGACGTCATTCTGGACGTCCTTCCTGACAAAGCTGGGGCCCAGGAGAAGCCGCCCGGGGTCCCGGGTGCCTGCAGCCGGCCTGAGGAGGGAAGCCTGGGTCTCGGGTGTGGGGGCCGAGTCAGAGGCAGTTAGGGGCAAACAGGCAGGCAGGGGAGCAGTTAGAGGCAACCAGGCCAGCAGGGGAGCAGTTAGAGGCAATCAGGCCAGCAGGGGAGCGGTTAGGGGCGATCAGGCCAGCAGGGGAGCAGTTAGGGGGCGATCAGGCCAGCAGGAGAGCAGTTAGGGGCAACCAGGCCTGCAGGGGAGCAGTTAGGGGCAATTAGACAGGCAGACAAGCAGTTAGGAGCCAGCAGTCCTAGATTGCGAGAGGAATGTCTGCTGGTTTAGGCCCGATCCCGCAGTCAGACATCCCCCGAGGGGTCCCGGATTGGAGAGGGTGCATGCTGGGCTGAGGGACACCCCCCACCCCGTGCACGAATTTCGTGCACTGGGCCTCTAGTAATTGATATAATAACAGTTTATTAAATATATTGATATTAAAACAATAATATATTAACAGTATAACTACAATAACAATGCTTATACATAATAATTGATTACATATTACATAATTGTTATATACTTACTGTTTCTCCCCCCACCCCCCGCCCCAACACACACCATTAAAAATAAGTTGAATGGCCTGGCCAGCGTGGCTCATTGGTTGAGTGTCGACCTATGAACCAGGAGGTCAGGGTTCGATTCCCGATCAGGGCACATGCCCGGGTTGCAGGCTCCATCCCCAGTAGGGGGCGTGCAGGAGGCAGCCGGTCCATGGTTCTCTCTCATCATGGATGTTTCTATCTCTCTCTCCCTCTCCTTTCCTCTCTGAAATCAATAAATACATATATACATTTTCTTTTTAAATTAGCATGATCACTTGGAGAAGCAGGAAGTGTTCTTGGCGGATGTGGGAGAGGAGCGGCTGTCATTTCCCTGCATTGAGCGTCTGCCCCCTGGTGGTCAGTGCGCGGCATAGCGACCGGTTGTCCCACCATTCGGTCGATTTGCATATTAGCCTTTTATTATATAGGATTGTGAGACGTAGCGTCAGGCACGGCTGATGGGTGGTTATTGGGAGGGGGGCATGCAGGCAGCTAAAATTGAACTCACGATGAATTGCGTGGGCCCGTGCCCGGTCGGCAGACAGATTCAGGATGAACAGGACACGTGCGTTATGGGTGGCTGCCATCAGCAGCTCCGAAACGCGCCCCATTGAAAGGGGCGTGTGGCTGCCCCCCAGGCCGTGAGGATGAGCCGCCCGAACTGCGGGTCCCGCCACAGAGGACGGAGACTCCAATCCGTGGGTGTCTGTCGGCGTGAAAGTGCAACCACGCACATACGTGTGGAGTAGCGTGCTCTTCACACATGTTCCGCCATGGCAGAGGGCAAGAATGGCAGCCCTGGCCGGTCTGGCTCGGTGGTGAGCGTGTCAGACCGAAGGGTCTCGGGTTCGATTCCCGGTCACGGGCACGTGTACCTTGGTTGCAGGTTCGATGCCCGGCTCCTGGTATTGCTTGTCCAAACTGGGTGTGCGTCTCTACCCTGGGCTCCAGGTCAGAATCACATCCCATGAGTAAAATGCACGGCCCTCTGTCCAACCTCGTCTTGGCCACGCCCCCCCCAGTATCTTTAACATCCTGATGCCTGTCCCCCCCACCCCCACCGTGACATAGAATTCTTATTCTTCAAAAAGTGAACTCCAGCCCTGGCTGGTGTGGCCCAGTGGATAGAGCGTCGGCCTGCGGACTGAAGGGTCTTGGGTTCGATTCCAGCCAAGGGCACACACATGCCCGGGTTGCAGGCTCGATCCCCCAGTGTGGTGCGTGCCGGAGGCAGCCAATCAATGATTCTCTCTCATCATTGATGTTTCTGTCTCTCTCTCCCTCTCCCTTCCTCTCTGAAATCAATAAAAATGTTTTTTTTAAAAAGAGAGCTACTCCTGTAAAATAAATAAATTAATTAAAAAAAATTTTTTTGAAAAAAGTGAACTCCTATTCACATGGAGGAAGCCTCAAAGGCCATTTACTTGGTCTACACACGTGACCAAAGAACACGGCCTCCATGAAAGGGAAAAATAAGAGAACGGAAGGACTGTGGGAGTCCTGAGGAAGAAATCACTAAGAAATGGTTAAAAAAGAAATAATAATAATATGAAGGGATAGGAAAAAATAGCCAATAAAGTTTCAGAACATAGAATAGATGCCTGAAATGCATAAATATGTCACTGTATTTATTTATACAAGAGGCCCGGTGCACGAAATCCATGCACTGGCAGGGCCCCTAGCAGCTGCTGGCTGTCGGCCGTGGCCTCCCTCCCTTCCCCCGGCCGGCCCCGCCCCCTGGTCGAACTCCCAGATGGACGCCCTCCTGGTCGAGGGGACAATTTGCATACCACGCTTTTATTATATAGGACACTGCATAGGGTGCCCCGAGGGCCGTAAGAAAGGCAAAAAATTCACTGTGAATCACTCCTTCACGAATTGCCCCCCTTAAAAACCAAACGGCCCCCCTGGGGGGCGTGTGCCCCAGGTTGAGGACCACTGGCCCAGGAGGGGAGGGGCGTGGAGAAGTGAGGGGCACAGATTAGCTCTTCCTTCCTGCCGTGGTTTCTCCCCGTGTTGCTAACGACTCTTACTGTCCCTCTCCCAGTGCCTGGCGCCCTGCAAGGAGACGCGGGATCTGCAAAAGGAGGGGTGTCCGAGCTTCTGCGAGGTAAGTGGGGCGGCCGCCCAGGTGCCTGAGTGTGCCTGCACCCCGCTGACGGGGACCAACGGGGGGTCACCGTCCCTCTGTAGCTGGGGGGTCAGTTACTGTGAGAGAGAGAGAGAGAGAGAGACAGAGAATGCAGATAAAAAAGAACAATACTGCCCTGGCCTGTGTGGCTCAGTGGGTAGAGCATCGGCCTGCGGTCTGAAGGGTCCCGGGTTCGATTCCCGGTCAAGGGCACATGCCCGGGTTGCGGGCTGGATCCCCAGTAGGGGCGTGCAGGAGGCGGCCGATCCACGATTCTCTCTCATCATGGATGGTTCTGTCTCTCTCTCCCTCTCCCTTCCTCTCTGAAATCAATAAAAAAAACTTTTAAAAGAAAAATCTATCCCCAATATGCCATCTTCTTGGGCTCGCTGGGGTTGCCGCTAACCTGTTGTGATTGTTGCGGACGGCACACAGGAAAGAAAACAACCGAGAGGATGAGATCGTACGTATCGATACAGCCGTGCAAAGGGCCTGGGGTCCCGACCCCGTGTTACGAATATTTAACCTCAGTTATTCGACGAACGTGTGAGCAAATAAATGACGCGTGTCTGTTAGGCATAACGTTACAACTCTCGGGTCATAATCCTATAGGACGCGAGCATAAATAGGACTTCTTTTTTTTTTTTAATCCTCCCCCGAGGATATTTTCCCATTGATTTTTAGAGAGAGAGGGAGACAGAGAGAAATATGGATGCGAGAGAAACGCATAGATGGGTTGCCTCCTGCACGCGCCCCTCGACCAGGGCCCAGGCCGGGGAGGTCCGTGCCCTTGACCGGAATCGAACCCGGGACCCTCCGGTCCACAGGCCGACACTCTGTCCACTGAGCCACGCCGGCCAGGGCTAAACACGACTTCTGCAGTGGGAAGGAAGGGAGCGCATTTGCTCTGTCAACCATTTGGACGGAAGAACGGTTCTGACCTCCCTTTGCAACGTTGTGTGCGGGGCTGAGCGGAATTGCCCTGGTCTCCCTTTGCGACGTCGTGTGCGGGGCTGAGCGGAATTGCCCTGGTCTCCCTTTGCGACGTTGTGTGCGGGGCTGAGCGGAATTGTTCTG